CAAAATCGAAAAATAATTTTCGATATAGTAATTCGATTAAGAATTTTGCTTTATCGTTGTATATTTTGGGTGGTAAATTGACCTATGAATTTCTTAGATTAAATTTACCTGGATCTTTACCACATCTATCTTTATTAAATTCATTGATTTCAAGTTCAGATTCAAGAATCAGTGAAGGAGAATTTAGATTCGATCAACTTCACAAACATTTTGATAGTCTTAATGTGCAATATGCATTCGGCTCTAAAGATTGTACTGGTATAGTTAAAAGAATTAAATATGATTCAAAAACAAATACATTTACTGAATTTCCTTCATTACTTGATCGTGGAGTGCCAGTTAAATCATATTATCAGACTGACTCACCAGTGCAATCCACGGATAATAGCAGCATACCAAGTCCTTATCTATTATCAGCATATGGAATTGACAATATTGCAACAGCGAACGATATATTGCAGAGATGGTGGTATATATTATTTAATCAATCCTTACAAAGAAATGTCAGAATCATTGGTTTTTCTAGTGGTGAGACAATGTTTTTTCAAATTTTACTAAAGGATAACTGCGTTTTTTTTATAGACGCGGATCCAAAATATTTACCTGCTATGCGTTTAATGAGCGGTTTTCTTGGAGCTCTTCCGAATTTTCAAGTTCACCAGTACCCACAAGCATTTCAAATAAAAATAAGATCACACTGGTCTTGGTTTTATCTGGGTGAACAACAATTATTATTATTTTTTCAAGATCCGACACATTTGGTAACCAAATGGCGTAATCGTTTATTATCAGCAACAGCAGAATTATGTCTTGGAAATCAGTCAATATCGATCAATTATTTGCATGATATTATTGAAAATGATACTTATTCTAAACTTGATCATGGTCTATCAAAATCTGACATTAACCCTAAATATCGTCAAAACTTTAGTTCTTGTTTGAAATTAACATCAAATGATCTATTCAATATTTTAAATGCTACTGCTGATACTCGTGGAACCTTGCTTTATTTTCAAGTGTTAAAAATGATTATAGTAGCCTATATTGAAAAAACGACAACAATAGTTGAAAGTGAGTACTTATGCACGCTAGATTACATATAATAAGATTATATTGTAGGACTACGATCTGCTTGGTGTGTAGTGTTTTTTTTGTCGACTATGGTTTTCCTGAATTAAATTTAAAACATTTAATTTAACACAAACCAGAAAAAATAATAAAAGCAGATATTTTATTACACAACCAGCATATTTATCGGTTGAAATAAATGCTCATAACTTAGAGTCCTCTGGGGTAATTCGGATCAAAATTTTGAAAATTCATTTTGTTTTTGTTCTTTCTCAGTCATCTTGCATTGCACAATGATGATTTTTTTATCACTATTAGTTCAAAGTGTCCTCTGTCGAATCACGAAAGAATTATCGAAAAATATTATACCGGTAAAAAGTATCAGTCAAAATGGTAAAAGTAGTGTGGAGCTGATCCGAGTTACTCCACATGGGATAATTCAGATCACTCTATGAATATAGGTGGGGTAATTCGGATCACTACAGCAAAAATAGTTGGTCTCATTTTTCCCATCTGCTAACTTATTTTTTTTATTCGAACTTCTGAAAAGCAAATATACCATTTGATAGCCCTACGTGTCCTCTATGGGACCTCAAAACATCTCGACAATCGACCCGACCGTTGTAATACAATACTCACGACAAGGATACCTCTATCAATCAATTGAAAATCTATCTGGTGTAATTCGGATCAGCCAAGCAATTTCACGTGGGGTAATTCGGATCACTCCAGCTATTTTTGCTGGTGATCACTTTTGAAACGTCTACCGTTTCTAAAAAGCAAAATCGATGACTGGACCCTTAAGAAAAGTTGTTCGTCTCGCTTTTCTCTACATGATCCTACAAAAAAGAAAGCATTATTTCATACCACCGATAACGTTTTAGACTAATTAATGTATTTACACAAACACTGGATGACGCAAATGAATTACAATATAATTCAGAGCTTAAACTAAATTTCTACAGATATCTACCAGGGTCTACATGTATCTACCAGGATCTACATGTATCTACCAGGGTCTACAGCTATTTACCAGAGGGTGTGGGTGTGGGTGCCACGAAAGGCTGAAAACAACATCTGCACACATACATAACATCTTAACTGTAGGTGCCACGATAGGCTGAAAATCAATCAGTTACCATGACTGAAAACCGTGCCCTCACAGATACCTACCGTGACCGTGATCATTACCTTGACCCTTCGATCTACCCTTTTATCTATTTATCTATCTATCTATTTATCTACGCATCTATCTACCTACCTATCTATCTATATGTGGATAGGTGACAGTTTTTTTTGGAAAATCCCAATGATACTATCACTAAGCTTTGTCATGCACTCGTCTACAAATATCGTGAGGATTTGGTGCTAGGCATGAAGAAGACATTCTCATTCACAACCACAACTACACCCTCGTAGACCCTGGTAGATACATGTAGACCCTGGTAAATATAGTTAGAATAGGCGAAGGTTTGATTGAATTTTGAATTACTTTATAATTCATTTACGTCATGCACTCCGAAGATAATGAGGTAAATGATGATTCTATCTATCAAGAAAATATTATATTGTCTTCATTCAAAGTGTGGTGTACTATTTTTTCTCAGATCAAAGATGGCCCATATTTGCTTATTTTCAATCCACGTATGCCAATTAATGATATAGAATGACTTAAATACATGTATATTGTTTATTTTCAACTCCTTCTTATGCATTCTAAACGATTATGTCAAATGGTTTGAGGAAAATATATCTTCTAAACATATATACAAAGATAATATTGTCAAAATTTAGTAAAATTTGAATCTATTATGATTATTAAGAGGGTGGATTGCATCGTTTGCGAGGATCTTAACGAAATAGTGATTCAAAAAGGACGCTCTCTATTTTAGTCACACTCAATAATTATTGTCTGAAGTATCACTTTACTAATACGTATCTTTCGAGAAAAGCGTCGTTTGGGTCTATGATTACAATGGCGAAAACATTGAAAAATGACTATTCAGTTCTTTTTTTGCGTCCACTATTTATCTTATATTTGCTTTACCTTTAGCATTCATAAGTGTTCCATATCTTTGTGGTATACGAAGTTTTATACTCTGAAAAGTCACTTAATATGTTCAATTTCTGTATTACTATGCGGGTCTCGTTTATCCTATTGTCTTTTCACTCGTATTACCTCAAGTGTGAAACAAAATGAAGATATTGTTACGAGTACTAGATCGAACAAGAACTGTTGTGCAGATAGTATAAACTCAAAAATGAAGTTTATTATAAATCATATGCTTATAATAAGCAATAGTGTTCCAACATTTTTCTTTTATTGTATTTTCGCCATACACTTGAAATTGGATGATTAGTAGAAAAAAACATAGAAACAATTTAATGGAGTAAAATTTACGATTCCAATTTTTATTCATCATAGTGATTCGGATAGATGTCTATCTTTGGATTATTCTTTGTTTCCGTATACAATCCGCTATGCTGCTAATCATGTACTTGTCCATAGAATATTTTCTATTTTTATTATGCGTAAATATCTGATAGGACTGTTCTCTATCTTTATTTATCAATATCAGATTGTTTTATTGATAATTAAGTTCTCATACGAATCAATTTCATAATTAGGTGTTTTACTATGTAGCAATTCGATGAAATCATTATCCACACGTCGTTCCATTGTAGTTTCTTGGAATACTTCTGATTTTTCAATCTAAATCAATCTGTATAATGAGAACAAAAAATAGATTATACTCTTCATGCTTACCTCTAGAAACTGTAATTTTTTTGTAAATAAATTAATACTTGGTAAATTTTGTAGACCAATTTTAACTACAAATCGAGTTATATTCAGTGTTTCAATTGCTAGAGAAACAAATAAATCTTGAATAAAATTAACAACACGTTAATTACCATAACGAATAAATGTATACAATGTTTCTATTCCATAACCTTTATGTCGTTCTGTAGCTTGAGGAATCATGATTTCAATTTCACCACAATGAATATCATCAAGATCATTTAAAAATAAATTCACATCACCAATCATTGATT